CTCAGCTGTTAACATATGTGCGGTACGTGAAAAACATGGACATTCAAGAAGAGTTTCTATTTAGTAGTCCTTTGCCCACCCACACAACAGGTGAACACATTTTCAACAAATTGAACGAATTTGTGAGAAAGAACGATATAGACTGGGAACGCTGCTGTGGGTGATGGGGCGATGGGGCAAAATCAATGACGGGCCGCCACAGTGGTCTCATATCGAGGGTTAAAGAGGTAGCTCCGAGAGACCCACTGCACCACTGCACAATCCATAGACAAGCTTTAGCTGCCAAGAAGATGCCAAATGATCTTCGGAGTGTCCTCGACGAAGCTGTGAAAATTGTCAACCTGATAAAAGCACGACCTCTAAATGCTCGTCTTTTAATCCCCACTGGCGCAGCACATGAGTGATTCGAGCTGGATCGCAAGGTTAGCTTATTTGTCGGACATATTTGAACGCCTCAACACGCTTAATACATCATTGCAGGGCAGAGACTGCGATGTGTTTTCGGCATTTGAGCAAGTGTCCTCGTTCCGGAGAAAGCTGGATCTATGGGCCACTCGTGTGGAGAAAGGATGCGTGGACATGTTTCCTACGCTGGCTGACTTCATGCAAGATCCAGCATACCGCTCGACAGTGGTTCCTATTCAGCCTTTGGTCGCTGAACACCTAAGGGGTCTGTGTCAGCAATTCACACACTATTTTTCCAACGAGACAATCCAGGATGAGTGGATTCGCAATCCATTCAAGTTCAAGCCAGCAGAAAGTGACGCACTGTCTATACAAGACGAAGAGGCTTTGATTGATCTGACTAGTAATCATGAAGTGGAGCAAATGATTACAGCCTCTTCCATTGGGCATTTCTGGCTCTCTGCTCAAAATGAATTTCCTGAACTCACACAAAGAGCACTGAGGAAACCTTTACCATTCGTTTCAACGTATTTGTGCGAATCAGGATTTTCTGCTATGACATTCATCAAGAACAAATATCGTTCACGTCTTCAAGTGGAGGATGACCTTCGTCTGTTTCTGACGTCACTGCAACCACGAATTAGTCTTCTCTGCGCAGCGAGGAAACAAATGCATACCGCTCAC